CCTCGGTTGAAATCAATCCTAGCTTTCCTTCTGTAAGAAAGTTTTCTTAACAATTTATATGAAGATAGTGTCAGGTTCGCATCTTGCTGATAAATCTTATACTGTATCGAATGAAAGAAATAGGTCTATAAATTTACTAGACGTTTGTCTAGCTTTTTTTTTTGTGATGGTCTAGATGATGCCGCTCAAAGCTCTCAGCGAAGGTGGTCTGCTTAGGAATTCTGCAGATGAGTCTGTTTGTTGGCTTAAGAATTATAGCCCGTAGCTGTTAAACTATAATTAACATAAGTATTTTCTGTTTTCAACGGAAGAGCTTACATAGAACAAAAGTATTTTTTTCTCTCCATCAAACCTTAATATAATACTAGTTTGATTGCGCTATTAGAATATATCAGCGGACAGTAAAGCATTTCTCAATGTGAATACTGTACTTCATCAAAGCTTTGAACATAAAATTTCTCAAAATAAAAAGAAATATTTATATTTGTCATTAAAGTAAAATGCTTATTTATTTTATACATCAACGTTTAAACGAACCGTTAATGAAATTCTTTTTGCATATTTGTTCCCTAAAATAGTAAACTACAAGTTGTTATACTAATTAAATCTTATTTATAAATGATCTAGGAGTAACCTCAAGTAACTTATCTTCCCATGAATAATATAACGATTGAGAATAAAATTAATGACGATATAGGCCTATTATGATAGGAGAATGATCGGAGTTAATCGCTGCATCTTAGATTTGCACGATTTATAAATTACTATAATAACCTTGGATGATCAGTAACTTAAATGTAAGCATGAAGTTTAAAAAATGTTTTACCTATGAGCATAGAACTTATAACATGCTTAATGTCGAGATTAAGAATATTTTGATAACAAGACTAAGATGGCCTATTTAAGAAATTTTAGGCTAACTTATTATCATGTAGACTACTTTAATAAAAAAAAATACAAATATAGGACATACTTATCACTACAGTAATGCAAATTTTAAAACTTCTAAAATTATAGGTTTATATATTAAAATTTAGATATAATTATAGTATAATGAATAACGGAATAGAACCGAGGTCGCATCTTCATTATCACTTCGAATAATGTTGAGAGTTATTTCACACGTTGCATTTATTGCTCAGGGTTTTATTCCTAAACATCACGCTCACGCCTTATTATATCATCAAAATATTGTAGAAATATTCTCAAAACACTTTATGTTTTCGCGACGTATACATTGTGTATTCACGAAACATCCTCTTGACGTGTACTTATAATTTCGTCACGTAGTCGTGTGATGTTGCTGGAGTCATTTGATTATGACCCGAGCTTTAACACTTTCTTTCAAATACTTTCAACGCTATTTAGAACGAATATATGACTCTATATAAAATTATGTGTAGATTATTGTTATTGGAAACATTTTAAAAAATTATTTTGTGATTTTATTTGTAATTATTTAATTTACTATTAATTTTCTACTATTCCTATTTAAAAAGTTCATTGATATTTATGTACATGTACAAATACATGGCACCTCTAATGCAATTTTTATTGTATAATAGATCTATTAATTGGTATATTCAAATATTTGTAAGTGCTTTTGTAAAAGAATATGCTGTATTTATAAAAAATTATTTAAAATTTAAAGAATAATAATAAGTTTTAAACACTTTAATTTTAGCTTGTAAAGTGTTACCTATGGGAAAATTACGGAAATAAGTAATGTGTTTGTCACGTGATATCCACTGCGGGTGGCAAAGCGCGAACACGATGGTCACTCACCACGCCTTCTATTGTGAAAGTAGACCGACTTTTCTGTGTCGTATGATAATGAACAGCGACTCTTTATAATTAACTGCCGCGAGTTTGGTTCTCAAATGTTTTGTTTTCATTTTTATCCTTCGATTTTTCTAATCATATATCTTTTTAGACAATTGCTTTTGTAAATTTTGATTTTTTTGGTTATTCAGCATTGTAGAAACATCACGATCTATTTAAATGCATAGATATTTTTTATTCACACCAACTGATACAAGCGTGTCTTTATATATCAATTAATAAAGTTGCATGTAATATTTATTTTAATTATTTCTACGAATTGAAAATCAGTTTAATTGTATTTTCTTTCGCATCGGCTTTCTTTTAAAGTTTTTTTTTTATTGTTATTACAAGAAACCCAATAACAATAACGAAAATAATAATTATTTTACTGATAAGAATTACAATTCATCGACTTTCAGAAAGTAGATGCTATTGAAAGGATTTAACAGCTATTTATCTAACTCTAAAAGAGAGTTGCAGTTAGGAAAATCGATAGGTTTGTAATTAAAAAATAAATACTTTTTAGGGATTGTTTTACTAAAGTTAATATGATGGATTACCATTATATCGTTTATGCTAGAACATATAAATCAATATGACATAGCAAAATGAAATGATATTTCATGGGAGCGTTGAAAAAGTTAGAAGAGAGATGGCATTTTCGGGGTTCGGGTGAAATTGTTTCCCAAGCATTGTATGATTTTATATTCATTTATTCATTTAGGCGTTTTACTTTCAATCTACCCGGATCTCATATTTCACTATCCGAGTTCACAGCTGTGAGGAATTGCGAACTAGTCTGACACTTTTTTTAGTTAGTGGGTGGAGACATTTCGCACACTGACCACCAGGTGGAATATGTTGACAGTGACAGATATGAACTTCCGCCTAGGCTACTTAAGACTATGTCCTTGCTGGGCCAGCGTGAATGACCTACTGTCATCCGTCATCATTATCATTGTGAAACTCAGACTGGATTGTAAAATATGTATTTTATATCCATGGCATTGTATGATAAACTTTCCTGACTTAATCGAGTTTCACCATCAGTGTTAAGATGTAAATGTTTAGATATTTCCCTCGGTAAACTTATTAGGTATTAAAATTAGATTTACAGACAAGAAAATTTTAACAATTATATTTTTATCCAACACATTTATATAAGAGAAATTAAGATAAATTATTAATGATAAAAATGTGTTTCCAAGATAATAACCCCGAAGTAATAATTATAATCTTATTCGTATTTTTAAATTGCAGTTATAGAAAGCATTATAATTATTTTACGTAAAAACTTGACAAAAAAAAAATTCATAAACTGTGTTATTTAGATTAACGAACTGAATGAATAATTCAAGTTTTATGAAATTTTCAGTTCATGTTTTTTAATTCATTCTAATGTAACATTTTACATTCTCTCTGTGATAGATTTAATAACATTAGAAATTTACGCAATCAATACAAAAAAAAATTTAAAAAGATGAATATTAAAATAATAAACAATTTTAAACTAATAATTTCTCATTTTTAATACATAAATGTAATTTATGCAACATTTTTTGAAATTATATTAAAGCAATTTCACTTAATTCGGCATAGGCTCTTGTCTGAAGCTGTTTTGTTTAGTTGTTTTTCGAGCTCTGAATGCAAGAAAAATAAATAAATATTGCTTCAGTCTAGACCCTATATTGTATTAAGTGAAATTATTTTGATATAATTCGAAAAAATAATAAATTCAATAACTTGCATTATCATAAATAATTTACAGATATTGATTTTATAAAAACTCTATAGACTAATAAAATAAATTTTATTCTGTTGCATTTTTAATTATTAAAATTAAAGCAAATTGTGCAAAAATAAGATTAAATTTAATAAAAAAAAGTAAATAAATAAGTAAATCGAGAAGAAAATAAATTTAATTAATCCTATTATTTTTATAACTTCAAAGTACAAAGATTAAAAGTTGATAAGAAAATCCTCTAATTAAAATCTACTAATTTGATGTTAAACTATATCGTGTAATAGGCTCATTATTATATACCAAACAATAATTAGAACTAAGCTAATATTTTTTAAGCGATAATTTTTTTCCGTTCGTAATTGTTCTTTTCTAATTAAAACCATCCAAGAAATCAATTATAAATCACTTAGACATGTTTTTTAGAGTTTATAAAATTTACCTATTTTATATTATTTTATATTGTTTGATATAAAAAATAATTTATTCAATTTTACATAATTCTGCAGATTTAATTTTCACAAACTGAAAATATTTTATTCTAATAAATTAAGTTTAAAAATATAAAGAAATNAATATCTAATTAAATTAACTGCTATTTAAATTCAAGAATTTAAATAAGTGAATTTATATTTTTTAATAAATTATAGTTATATAAAGATTAGAGTGTTTATTAAGACAAATTTCGATCTACTAAAAGAAAAGCAAAAAAATTGATTCATCTTAAAGCATTAAGTTTATATAAAAATCGTACAGTAACGTTTAGGTTATTGACTTAAGTCTAATGTTTAATGATTATGTTCAGAATAAGACTATTATTATAATCAAGAGTTTGCTACATACAAAGGTTTTTTGAGCAATTAACAAAAGAGAATACCACGCATCAAGACGCGAATATCTTGTAGGGAGAAAAGAAAAAAAAAATTAGAAATCTAAATGAGATGAAAAAGACAGTTATCTTTCTTCTGTTGATAATCGAGCATTAGCATGATGTATTCGTCAGATATAGAAATGATGAGCATTCATGCATGGAAGTGGTTACAATGGGCACGTTTCACACAGCACGTTTTAATGATACATAATTGGTAGATCAAGTAGCAATAAGAGTTGGACCGAAAGTAAGCACCAGTTGAATATAAACTATGTAACATTTAGGAAAAATTCCACATTAATATTGTCTAAATTTATACGTTCTGGTATTTACCTAAACTATATAGAAACGGGTAATGGTTAAATAGAATAATTTAATGGCATTTGCTGTTATATAACTACGATTAAGTTATTCTAATCTTTCCGTGTGCGTGACCTGATAGATACATGTATCTTTAACATCTCATGCGAGAATTTTATTTACTTCTAGTAATTCATTCGATCGTAAATACATCCTTTCATTTGTTGCTAATGGCTAAGAACAGTTAAGATATCATGGAGGAAATAGATTGCTTTGAAACGGACGTTCATTAACAAAAGAATGTATGTAGGCCTATAGTATAAATTTTTAAAAGGAAATCAGTGAAAACTCTCAAATATTCAATAATTATTACGGTTTTATTTAAATTTTATTAAAATATTTCATGTTAATTATTAACTCTATTTATTAAATACAATATTTTTATTCCTATCTCTTCAAATTGGTATTAAAGAAAGAATTAGAAATAAGTAAACGTTTTTAGAAATTAAATAATGTAAGAAAATAATATAATATTGAATATTTTACAACAATCTCTGCATAATTATTTTATATTTTTTGTTTTTGTTTTATATATATATATAAAATTAGAATATATATTTCGATGAGAAAAATTAGAAAAAAAAGAAAAGAAAGAAAGAAAAAGGATTATGTGACGATCAATTGTGGAGAACAGTGTAAGTGAAATTTGATGATACGTGGTGACTGCTCTTCCGTAAAAGAACTAGACACGGAAATGACTCATCAAACCCCACCTGTCTGGCTCTTTTTAATTTTTGAAATATTTTGCGGATATACAAACGAACAGACGAAGAAAGTAGTAGTTATCTCTTTTATTTATTACAGTTCTGTTCGTAGGATCGAAGGTTTGGAAGTGGATGATGGATTTGCTTGATTTAATGGATACTTTTGTTTATATCCATAAATTATGTACTTTTTAACACAATAAATGGCACTGATGAAATAACAAACAGATGAAAAAGCGAATCGATTTTGCATTAACTCTGTCACATCTCGAAACTTCCATTGACAGCTTATTTTAATTTTCAAAAGTTTTGTACAATCAAGACATTTGGAGAAAATGATTCAAAGATTTATTAAAAACAAATGAGGTGTAAAGAATATTGCATCAAATTTTTAAGAAAGTCTTTTAAATTTACAAGTGGTGCATTCTAAAAATAAAAATAAAAAGCACAAGAAAAGAAAAAAAAATCAAATTTAAAACTAAAATATGCAATCTATACACAATTAAATTTTCAACTAACAAAAAATGTAAGCATTACTTAGGATTTGTATTGTCTTTCAGTACACCATCTCACTATATTCTTATAGTGAAACTGTTACTTTATGTAATTATAATGACTATATAAACATTTCTTAACAAATAAGTATTTATTTTTCATACTTTCTTATTCATTCCTATCTCCATCATGTCTTCCTTATCCTCTTTCTCATTCCCTAATTTTCTTCCTTTCTTCAGCCTAGATTCTAGAGTAGGTTCTACTCCCTAATAATAATATCTAATTAAATTAACTGCATCAAACTCAATATGGTTGTTTAAAGAATTGTCTAGAAAAAATTCTTAAATTGATCTTTCTCAAATTAATTTTTAAAATAGATAGATAAAATTTAAAAAATAAAGTTAATATAATTAAATGCTGCAGGTTAAAGTTGCCTTAAAAAAACTGTTATGAGCAACAGATTGCTATCAAGTTCTATTTTTAATATAAGTTAACAAATTTTTTTTCTTACTTTACTTTTAATTAAAATACCAAATATTTTTAAACCTTAATTTCCAATCTCATTAACAGTGTTTTAATTAATAAAATTAAGTAATCAAATTGCATAATTCTAAAACATCTCTCGTTCTGATCAAATAAATTGCTGAAATATTTATAAAATATGATGGAAAAATTTATTTTATAATCGCCTAAATTAGCAACTTCACTTTATATTCTATGAAATTCAAATATCATAAATTTGTTTCTAAAATTTAATATAAAAAATGCAAATTTGGCTAATTAAAACTCTAAAATGCAATTTTTGCTGATTAAAGCTCTAAAAAATACAATATTGCTGATTAGAGCTCTAAAAATGCAAGTTTGGCTGATTAAAACTCTAAAACATACAATTTTTGCTAATTAAAGCTCTAAAAATGCAAATTTGGCTAATTAAAACTCTAAAAATGCAAATTTGGCTTATTGAGTTGTAAAAAGAATAAAATCAGTTTAATTTGCTTTAAAAAAATTCGCTTGACAAAAACGCTTTGTTTGTTTTTTTTTTCTTTTTTAAGCCAAATTTGAAATTTTTCTGAAGTTAAAACTTCAAATTTACACGTGGCAAACGTCATAAAAAAAAAAACAATTTTATGCCCGTTTAAATCTTCTTAAGCTACATCTATACATTCATTTAAAAAAAAAAAAAAATTCTCTAGAGAATTTAAAGGCATTGTTTTAAAATTTGCATCCAGAACAATATTTCTATATTCTAATAAATTTGATTTAGAGGCATAATTCATAAATCAAATTATATCGGAAGCTCACAAGTTATAAGTCGAGATCGTGTCTTACACGTTGATGTTTTCTATCTCTTAAATCATATTGGCCCCAGGCCCTTTCAAAATAAACATGGAAGTCAAAACCGGATTGTTGTAATTCATGACTGCGGGCAAAGAAAACTCAATGTTGTAACCAGTAAAACAAAAAAAAAATAACAATATCGTTTTTAATATCGCCAATTGTGTGAAGATACATTACGTAGCATCGGTATGACCATTCATCAATTTGTGGTATGTTGAATGGAATTTAAATCATTTTAATTTCGTTTTTTTTATTTGATTAAATGTTAGAAAATTTGTTTTCTGGAAAGGACCCCAAAAACCCCTTTTTTCTATTGATTTTTTTCTACTGTTTTAGACTGTATCATGGAAGTAAGATGCGCTTCGTGGCGAAGAAGAAGTGCTTCTTCTTACGAGAAGGCTTTCTTAAATATCTGTAAAATAAGGCTTTTTTTTAAATGAGGTTCTCTTATAATAATAGCCTGGAAAGAGAGGAGGAATTAGAACTTTACTATAAGAAAACCACTCTTGATGTTCTTACTGTAAGAAAGCCTTACTTAATTAATAATACAAAAGCTATTTTATAATGAGAAATTTAAAAATAAGGTGTTTTCTTAAGCCTTTAGATTAAGGCTTTCTTATATCAAATCAATTAGAAGATTAAAAATAAAAACAAATTGTTTCAAAGATTCGAAAAAGTTTAGATTATGTTATAACAATTTCATCGGGAAAAATCATAAATAATTGATTAAAAACTACTGGTTTTGTGGTCCCCTTCGTAATTTAAGGCCCTAAAATATTATTTAAATCTAGTTAGATTAGTTTTAGGTGTTTTACTAACGAACACGTAAGCGTTGCAGATGGTTGTTTTTGTTTCACGATGACAACTTGACTGTCATTGAAAAGCAGATGGTGCACGTCTCATCAGAACAGGCAATTCAACAAAGCCACAAACAATAAAACTTCCGTAAATAATACAAAAACTATATTTATTAATATAATTTTTCAGATAAATCTATCTTTTGTTATAATTAAATGTTCGACTTTACGGGAATCAAACAATTACTTGAGTTATAATAGATTGTCATTTGTAGTCATCTTGTGGTCCAGAAAGGAAATGGCGCCCAATCGAAAGCGACACGCAACGCCACCTAGACGCCACCTGTCCGTTGAGGGAAACTCTTTGTTAATACAATTACGTAGTGTTTTTCGTAGTGTAGGTTAAAAAAAAAAATGGCTAATTTCATGGTGAAGTTTGAAAGACGGTAGCGTTATTAGAGGCCTTCGTTTTAGGGCCTCTTACGTGGATTCACGTCTTAAAAGGATTTAGGGGTACGAGCTATTATTTGGCTTATAGAGTAAGTTTCCACCCACGAAAGGTGTGTAAAGTCGGTAGGGATAGTTGCGTCGTTGATTCGCTTTGTTCGAAATTGGTGGAGGTTTTACGTGTGTGAACACATAGAACACGTTTAGTAAAGTCTTGAGGTTGTCATCGAGACTATCCAATTCGAGATGGGATTGTTCCTGCATGGCTAAAGACGCGTGCATGAAACAAAGAGTGCGTGACGATAACCAATCACACATCCTCATCTCTTGTACCCCTCAGATAAAGATCGAATGTACAGCATTGCGCACGCGCACATTGTCATCTACCGATGACTCACGGGAATTCAGTAATTTGTCACGTGGAAAAGGACCCGCCTCTACAAACGTCGGGCTTTTTGGCCCGGAGGCCAACGGCGTTACCCCGTCCGATGGGGAATGGCTGTTAGGCCAAACTTACGATGTGTCAGAACACATAAAGATTGTCAAAACTGTCCCAGAAGTGACATGATTGGTGTAGGTGGTCTCGAGGAAGTGCTACATTCACCGCGAGGCAAGCAAAATACCAACGTACATCACCTCTAGAGATGCATCCAAAGGGGCCTCTTAAGTCCATTTGTTACGTTTCGGGGGCCTCTTACAAGAAAAGGTTTTCTGTCGGCTCCCTCTTTGATTTGCTAACGTAAATGTATGCAGAAATATAGCCCGGGGATGCTAAAGAGAAGGACGTAACTAAGTATACGAAAATTCGTCCCCGAGCTCGTTTCGTCTTCAGTAAATTTTAAATTAATAGAAACTATATATTCGTCTGGCCAAAAAAAAAAAATCTTCTAATAATTTGGGGCCCGTCCATAATTTAGGTGTGGCTTAAGAAATACCAGGTGCTTTTTTTTTATCAGGTTACATTTCTTCGGGGCACATACGTATTAGATTTGTTGGTTTTCTTAATCATCAATGACTAATGGTTGCTCCTACTTCTTATTGGCCATTCTCGGAAAGATATCAACATTTCTCGATGATGATGATGATGATTTTATTCAACAATTTGCACGGGTCTTATCGAGATCGAAGATTGAGTTATATTGAAATATGTTACTGACGATAAGAAAGTCGTCTTTATGCAATGTTTGGCATACTTAATTGAAAGAAAAACCTGTATTGAGCTGGCAAAATTCTTCATTTTCATTTTTCTGACATACCATTTAAAGATTAATTAACTTTTTCATGGTTTAAGACAGCAAATCAATTGATGTTGAGAACAAAGATCTTTGTTTCTTTTTTTTTTTTTTATATCCGTACAATCAGGAATTGATGAACTCGCATCTGAAACGTGATCCTCATACACAAGACCTAAGCGATACTTTGACAGTTTTATTTGGCTTTTGCAATGGCACAAAATGTCTTTTCCTGGTTAAAATATACCAAGAAACCGTAATAGGGTTTAGTTCTTATCTAATTTTGCTTTGTATTCAGAAGATTACGGTAGTAGTAAGATTGCAAATGGTGAATTTTTTTTTCCTCTTATAAATTGTGAGAGAGAGACACACCCTTTGCTGGCATTGGTTAGCAGACATTTTTGATACTTTTCTATCGGAAGTTGGTTTTAGATCATAAAGCTTACCTACTCGTTTTAAAATCCTTAGATTACTGTTTAATCAAAAAATGCCAGCTGTTCGGATCACGTGAGATCTTTCAAAAATGGATCCTTCCTCCCCCACTTGATCAATCCCGATAGGAAGTGAATTGGGTGGAGATTTTTGAAGTAGAGAGATGTTCTGTTGTTAATAAAATTTCTAACGGATGAGTAAGGATGAATTAATAAAGAAAAATGACAAGAAAGTACATAAATTCAGCCATTTTTTTTTTAATACGTAAACCGCGTGGTAGCCTAACAGGATCAAAAATTCTTTAGTACAATAGAGCGCAAAGCGCAAACTTTGGATTCAATAGTCCTAATTTACGGTTTTAAATAATAAAAAAAAACTGAGAATA